CGGTCACACTGGAACCTTCGGTGGGGCCCCTTTTGGGGCCACGAAACGCTGCACTGGGTGGCTGAAACGCAAGGAGGACGAAGGAGGGGGCCACGAAACGCTGTACTGGGTGTGCGGGACGCACTCGTGCGGTCCCACTAGGACCGTCGGTGGGGCTTCCTTTGGGGCCACGAGAAGCTGTACTGGGTGGGCGGAGCGCAGGGAGGAGGAGAGAGGAGAGGGCCACCAAACGCTGTGCTGGGTGTGCGAGACGCATGCGGGCGGTCCCTCTGGGACCTTCGGTGGGGCTCCGTATGGGGCCACGAAACGCTGTACTGGGTGGGTGAAACGCAGGCAGGGAGGGGTCACGAAACGCTGTACTTGGTGTGCAGGACGCATGCGGGCGGTCACACTGGGACCGTCGGGTGGGGCTCCCTATGGGGCCACGAAACGATATACTGGGTGGGCGAAGCGCAAGGAGGAGGGTGCGGGACGCATGGGGGCGGTCCCACTGGGACCTCTGGTGGGGCTCCGTATGGGGCCACGAAACGCTGTACTGTGTGGGTGAAACGCAGGGAGGGAGGTAGAGAGGAGAGGAGAGGAGAGGAGAGGAGAGGAGAGGAGAGGAGAGGAGAGGAGAGGAGAGGAGAGGAGAGGAGAGGAGAGGAGAGGAGAGGAGAGGAGAGCAGAGGAGAGGAGAGGAGAGAAGAGGAGAGGAACGCGGGGCACCGTCTCTTCAAAACGAAGACCCAACACAAGATGGTTGCGAAAAAGGCCCCTATTCCCCTCCTTCCTGCAAGCAGGAACCAATGCTGGACCACCTCAGACCCCCGGCCGACTCCAACTCCAGGCCTTCATCCCTGGCTGGAGTTTCCCACAGCGTGCGTGCGGTAACCTTCTGGGTGTTTGGAGCGGTCTCTCGAGGTCACTGGCCAGCACGCCACAACGCATGGAGAGATACAAAGCAGCCCTGCAGCCATCTACGACACGCTGTGCTTTCAGTATCGGCGGCGTCTAAAAGGGGGGTTCACGAATCATGGCCGGCGGCACGTACGCGGACGACGACAGGCCAGGGCACGCATTGAGAGAAGAAGAGGGGGCCTAGTCATCACCCTCCTCTTGGAGGCCGCCGTCTCCAGGCTAATGCGTTTTCCCCGCTGACAGAACCCTTTGTGGGAAGTTTGCCCTTGCAGCCACGTAGAGCCAAACTGTTCAGTATCGCAAGTAGGGAAAGACATCGGGTTTGATAATTCGTTGTTTTGTTTTGCTCTTGAAGGCCCCCGCAACTACTCCAGGCCTTCATTCGCCCTCGCCCCCGAGCGCACGAGGGCACCCCGAAAGGCACGCCCACCGCCGCACCCCGTGGGCGCGAACGGCCAGCCACACCGCGCTTCGCACGGGCCATCCACGGGGCGGCACTTCACCCCTCCAATCCCCCCGCCCGACCCTCCCGCCCCTCAGCAAGGACCAATTTCGAATCGCGAAGCCGGATCGGAATCGGAATCGCGTCGAATAGTTTGGAATCTGTGTTCAAACCGGCGATTGCCGAATGGGATCAGAACTCGGAGACCCGAATTCGGATCTGAATCGAATCGGAACAAATGTTGTTCGAGTCAGATCGGAATTGAATCGGAATCGAAACGACCCAGCGAACAGGGAGTGGGGAGTGGGGACGCCACCGCGACCCCCTGACTGGGACACTCTTGCGGACTTCTGGGACGACGACGCTGACGACGACGACGACGACGACGACGACGACGGCGGGCAGCCTCCTGGGACCCCCCAAGGCGCCCCCCCTTTCCCCCGCCCGAACCCGCCGCCCATGCGCCCCCCCACCACTCCATCCAGACATGCTCGGGTCGCAACAAAAAAACAAACAAACAAACAAACAAAACACGCGACGGAAAATGTTAGCCGTTTTCGGCCTCTGGGGGCCCTTGCCGGGGCCCTGTGGCCGTCAAAAAATTAGCCTGGCGAAGGACCCAACCATGCGCAGTTGTGAATACCGTAATTATGAATCTCATCTTTGCCCGCGCCCCCTATGGGGCCACGAACCGAACGAGGGGCGCGCCGAGAGGCGTGGCGGGGCACCCGACGCGAGCGAAGACGATAGGTCTGCATGCGAGAGACTGAACGCGAGTGCGTATGATTGTGAATGAGTCTGCGTGCGAATCAATCCACGCTCATAAGCGTCGACGCCCATGTCGGCGCGCTCCTCCAGAGGATCGCGCCCGCTTCCTTCCCGTTATTATTGTTTTGTTTGTTCTCTCTCTCTTTCTCTCTCTTTCTCTCTTTCTCTCTTTTTTTTTTTTTTCTCTCTCTCTCTCTCTCTCTCTCTCTCTCTCTCTCTCTCTCTCTCTCTCTCTCTCTCTCTCTCTCTCTCTCTCTCTCTCTCTCTCTGCCCGCGCGCGCCCATGTCCGAGGCTGCGGGCGCGGCGCCACACGGGGCCCCGGCGACGCACGCCGGTCGCCCCGAAGGGGCCCCGGCGACGCGCGCGGGTCGTCCGCCGCGCGGAGCAGAGAGAGCTGGCTGGCTGATAGCGGGCAAGGCTGCGGCCGCCGGGCAGAGAGACGATGGGGGCAAGCGAGGCTCCGGGCAGAGCGCAGCGCGGAATTCCCGCGACGCGCGCGGGTTGCCCGCGGCGCGAAGCCAAACAGTCAGACCGTCGAGAGACGGCGAGGCTCGGGCGGGTCGCTTTTCAAGTCAAGCCTCGCGGATAAACTCGGAAGCCCAGCTCCCTGGCGAGGGCCGTCGCCTCCCTCCTGCGCCTCTTCGTGCGCGTAGCAAACTGCTCCAGCTGCCTTCGCAATCCCGCCAGCGGCCCTGCCGGGAAGAACTCGATGCGCGGCGCCCGCGTGAGCAGGAGGTCCTCGTGGCGCGTGGCGCGCGAGAGCAGCGCGTAGAGCTCCACCCGCCAGTCGTCGTCCTCCTTCCTGCCGTTCCCCACCTCGTGGCGGCCGCAGTCCAGGATCACGCCTGGGAGACGTCGGCCGAGGGGGCAGCGCGCTGGACAGCCGACGGCCCAGGGCGAGACTCCCCCAGACGGAGAGAAGGTTTCCAAAACGTGTGAGGGGCCACGAAACGTGTGAGGTGCGTGCCAAAATAAAGCGGCGCCGCCATGCGGGCAGCGCCGCTGGGGCCTTAGATGGAGCTCCCTCTGGGGCCACAACATGTGTGAGGGGTGTGCCAGACTGGGGCGGCGCCGCCATGCGGGCTGCGCCAGTGGGACCCTAGATGGGGCTTCCTATGGGGCCACGAAACATGTGAGGGGTGTGCCCAAATGGAGCGGCGGCGCCATGCGGGCTGCGCCACTGGGACCTTAAATGGAGCTCCCTATGGGGCCACGAATCGCGTGAGGGGTGTGCCAAAATAGAGCGGCGCCGCCATGCGGGCTGCGCCACTGGGACCTACGATGGAGCTCCCTATGGGGCAATGAAACGTGTGAGGGGTGTACAAAGATGGGGCGGCGCCGCCATGCGGGCTGCGCCACTGGGACTTCAGGTGTAGCTCCCTATGGGGCCACGAAACGTGTGAGGAGTGTGCCAAAATGGAGCGGCGCCGCCATGCGGGCTGCGCCACTGGGACCTTAGATGGAGCTCCCTATGGGGCCACGACACGTGTGAGGGGTGTACCAAAATCGGGCGGCGCCGCCATGCGGGCTGCGCCACTGGGACTCCAGGTGGAGCTCCCTATGGGACCACAAAACGTGTGAGGGGTGTATCAAAATGGGGCGTCGCCGCCATGCGGGCTGCGCCAGTGGGACCTTAGGTGGAACCCCCTATGGGGCCACGAAACGTGTGAGGAGTGTGCCGAAACAGAGACATGCGGAGAGCAAAGGCAAGGAGGGGGAGGAGGGAGGAGAAGGAGGAGGAGGAGGAGGAGGAGGAGGAGGAGGAGGAGGAGAGGAGGAAGGAGACGCGGGGCACCGTCTCTTCAAAACGAGGACCCAACACCACAGGATGGTTGGGAACAATTCAGAATGAAAAAATGGCCCCGGGGAAAGGGTCGGGACTTCTGGGAACCCCACTCTGAAGAAAACACTATATCACATGTCTGGACTCTCCCCTCCCTCATCCGCCCTCTGCGCCCCACCCTCCTCCCCCCACTCCATCCTCTCCCTCGTCCCCCCCCTCCCCCTGCCGCCCCCTCCGCCCCATCCCGTCCCCCTCCCCCTGCCGCCACTCCGTCCCCCCTCCCCGCTCCACTCCCCTCCCAGTTCCTCATCCGCCTCGGCCAGCCGCGCCCGACGCGTGTCCAACGCCCACCGGACGCCGAGTGTCGATCGCTGGAGCCGCAGGGAGACCAAACAGGCGGCCAGACCGCATCAGACACTCCAGGAGGGAGGAGAAGGGAAGGAAGAACGGTACTCAGCTTCCGCGTTGAATCGGCGAACGAGCTCGTCGAATGAGATGCTGTGGCGGTGCGACCCACTGAAAGGCCCTCGCCAGCTCTCACCCATCCCCAGCCTGACCCCGACCGATTGTCCGCAAATCCCCAATCTGGCACAGCCCGGGTAGTTCGAGCCCCCATCGCGTGCCTGGCCTGCGCTGGCGCGCAACATCACGACAGGGTCGCGATGCGCACTACTGCCCCAGAAAGCTACAGCAAAGGGCCTCGCCTGAGATTTTCTTGCCTTGAGCGAGCGGCTCGCCAGATCGGTACGCAGGAGGACCGTACACTACGGCAGCGGCAAATGGATCTACCCGCGCATCACCTTGTCGTCTATCTGCTCCCTTCGCGCACAGAAACCCACCAACTTCAAGAAGCCAGTTCCTATTGCGACGAACAGGAGACCCTCGTTGCAATCACAAGTCCAATCCTCATCGTCTGCCACTCCACCAGTACCCTCGAACACCCGCCACACCAGATCCGTAGAAGCTGGCTGTACACCACCACCAGCGCTGGCCAGGGCCATCCTGGCCAGGGACGGTGGCGGATCATAGCTGCATTCCGCGGTGTGGAAGGAGGGGAGGAGAGGGGACAGGGGGAGGATTGAACTGGCGGGTACACTGGGAGTCTCCGACATGAACACCAGGTAGACGCCCTGGTAGAACGTCTGAGCGCCCACGTCGCCAACGAAATTCTTCATTTCGCGCGCAGCCATGCCCTCGCAGGAAGCGTGGTAGTTCGCGTCGCTGAAGAGAGTGGGCGGATACGCGGACGCTGTGACAGGCCCCTGCCTTGAGGGGCAACGTCACGGAGGCACCAGCTCAGCGGGGGCACACAAACACGGAATCTGCGAGACATCGCCAGTATATCGACGACAGGCCCCCGATAGCGAATCCGCATGGTCAAGGGCGGGGCGGGTTATCGGGCTCCTATCGGCGATCAACGGGCCATGGGGGGTCGATGCCTCCCCCCCGAGCCCGTCGCCCCTTACCGTTACCCCTGACCGCCTGGCGGTCGCAGAAGCATGCAGGCCGTTGCCTTTCAGCTGGAGTGCGGACGCGTGGGTCACGTGGTCGGCGCGTCGCCTGGGAGGGCACCGAGCGGTTCCCGTGTGAGCGGGGGGGACAGACCAGAGAGCCGACCAAAGATCCGCAGCACGGAGACGACAAATATTGTCTCCTTCCCCCCCCCAGAAAAAAACAATCGTATGTCAACCCCTGGGCCGAACGGGCAACGGATGAGGAAAGGAGGAAAATAGGAGAGGACACACACACACACTTTTTGCGTCGGCGGCCAGGCAGGGGTCGTCTGCGCTGGTGGAATGAGCTCAACGGGGGGGCCGTGGTAGCGAATTGGCCATCATGCAAGAGAAGGGAAAAGGGACAGGGCGGGCGGCCGCAAAGGTGGGGGCGAGGCGAGGGCCACTCAGGGCGAACGGGCCACATCCCTGCGTGAGCAGGCTCGGCCACCCCTGCCAACGGGAACAGCAGCAGCTGCCAGGCTGCAGGGCCGGTGCAAACACGGGGGCGGAGCCGACGAAGACAGCACGTGGCCGACGAAGGTCGCGAGGTGCAGGGCTGGGGAGCCCCGCGCCGCCCAGATGGGAGGTACAGTACAAGGCGCGGACAGTAAAAGTGCATACAAGTGGACTGTATCCAGCAAAATGCTTGGTCAGAAAAAGGGGACAGGCGGCAAGACCAGGCCCAGGATCCCGAACGCGCGGTGGCTGGAGGCAGCAGCCCTGGCGCCATGGTGGCGCGCGGACGGAAGGAGAGCGAGCGGGGGAAGGGGGAGGGGGGGGCGGGGGAGAGGCGCCCCGCCTGCATGGAGGACCCCGCAGGCGGGACTACGGGGCAAGCGGCCCAGCGCCAGCACTGCAGTTGCCAGCGGTTGGCCCTGGCTGCGGCCGTGGAGGCCAAGCGCTGTCGGGGCGGGCAGCGCCGGGCCGGTCTGGGGGCACCTGATCGGCGCAGCTACCTGCGTCCAATCTGTGGCCGAAGGCTCACGGCGTGCCACGCGCTGTCGGGGTGGACAGTGCATGCCCGGTCTGGGGGCAGCGCGATGGCGCTGTCTCCTGCGATTGCGAGCACAAGGACGACGGGGCATGGCTTCAATACTGTGGCCGCAGGCTGACGGGGGCCACGCGCGGTCGGGGTGGACCGCGCATGGCGTGTCTACGGGGCAACGCGACGGCGCTGCACCCTGCAAGTGGAGCACGAAAGATTACGTGGCATGGCAGAAGAAGCAGAGGAGAAAAGCAGCGTCGCGCCGGCCAGGGTCGCGGGCGCCGCCGCCACGCAAAGCGCAAAATCTGTTCCAGGCCGCCCCAAGTTCACCACCCGTTCGCTGCATCCTCCTGACCCAGGCCATAAGGACCCCCTTCGAGTTGAGGAAGTCGAGCAGGACGCGCGCTGGGGCACTGCTAGGACGCGCCCGCCCCTTGCCCTGCTTCCCATAGTCCGAGGCGAACGAATCCCAGAGGGCGCGGGCGGGCGCGAGGTGTCTTCGACGAGGGGCGGGAGCTCGCGCCGCGCAGGCAGAAGCGCCCCCCCTCGGCAGAGCGGCGATGGAGCAGCCCGCGGTGCTGAAACCGCCAGCGCCCGTCGTCACTTGGGAGGAGCAAGGAGCCGACGCCTGTCGGAGACGACCCTGTCGCCGGCAACCGCCGCTGACTCGGCGGGTTGCGTGGACGGACGCCGCGCACCGCCTCGACTGGATTGCGCCGCTGGGCCCCGCCGCTCACGACGGCGCTGCCGGGTTCCGCTTTCCAGCCGCGGCGACGAGGGACATCCGAGACACGCGTCAGTGCCCGGACCCCCCTTCCTCCGCCCCCGCGTTCTCCGACCCCCCGAGCCCAGCCGCGGCGACGAAGGCTCTCCAGATCTGGAGACGCGGCGACGAGGAGCGCAACTTACCGCTGCGCAAGACGGCGCGATGGAACCGCGCTCGCCCGACGGGCATCGTCGAACACGGGGCGGGGGGCGCCGTGCCGCGGAGAACCCGGGCTCCCAAAGGGCGGCGGGAGACCCACTGGGCCTCTGGGCCTGGCGTCTGGGCCCCCGTCGGGGTCGCGCTGGGCCGGCGTCGTCCGCTCTGTCTGCCGCCTGGGCGCGCAGCGTCTGCCATGCGCGCCCGCTGCGCAGGTCCGTCTCCGCCTCCTGTCCACGCGCGCCGTCGTCGGCAACCGCCTCGGGCCCGCCCAAGGCGAGCACCTGAGTCTGCGTCGGCGCCCGCGCCTCCGGCGGCTCCGCCCCGGGGGAAGCCGCCCTGGCCTCCGCCGTCGCCGTCGGCGTCAACGTCGGCGTCGACGTCGACGTCGGCGTCGGCATCGGCGTCGGCGTCGGCGACGGGGTCGGCGTCGGCGTCGCCGTCGGGGTCGGCGCTGGCGTCGGCGTCGGCGTCAGCATCGGCGCGGGCGTCGTCGTCGCCGCCGTCGTCGCCCTTGGCGACAGCGTCGGCGTCGGCGTCGGCGTCGGGGTCGGCATCAGCATCGGCGTCGACGTCGGCGTCGGCGTCGGCATCGGGTCAGCGTCGGCGTCGGCGTCGGCGTCGGCGTCGCCGCGCCCGCCCTCGCCCCCCCGACCTCCCCCGACCGCGCCGAACGCGCAACTAATTGCCCCAGGGGTCCTACAGTTGCACGATCACCGTTTGAAAGATCTCGACGATGGCGATGCGTGGTTTTCTAAATTTGCTAGATGACATTGATAGACATGATAATAAGCCCAAGCCCCTTATGCATGATAATGGAAAGTGGAAGGCAAAGCGCGAAGAGCCGTGATAACGCATCGTCGCAGAACATCCGACAGCCCGCCATGTCACGAGACGGGTAGACATAGACTAGCAGTTGTGCCCGCATGGGCGCTAGCAAACATGGCAACGACAAGTGTTTCCGCCCATTTCGGCGCACCCCTCGCTCGGATCGCGCGCGGGGGCAGCGGACTGGCGGACAACTTGACTGGAAAGAATCGGCAGGGGACAAGTCCGCGCTGCGTTAGAAATCATGCCAGCCCTTCCCAGACGCCGCGGTGAGAGCTGACATAGCAAAGGGCCCAGAGCGCACACCATCCCACACCGCATCCCGACCACGACGCGCATTGAAGTTCCCACCCCACACCTGCATTACCCTCTCCTCCCGCAATGCGTCGTGTCGCAAACGCAATGAACTCCTCCACGCCACCAGCTCCTACGCGGACACCCCTGTCGGAGCGCACATCGAGCACGCCGCGAGATTGTCACAGCCTGGGAACAATAAGTTGCACCAGAATCTGTCACAGCCGCACCCCCACTTCTCACCTGCCGCCTCATAATCCCCCCTCCCTACGCGGTTAAGTAGGATAGCACTCTTCCATTACCCCTGTGCGACCCTACCTAGAAGTTGGAGCCCCTAGGAAAGCAGCATTAGTTGCTATGCTATGCAATGTTATGCCATGCTATGCTGCGCTATGCTCTGCTATGCTATAATATGATGCACTGTGTTATGATGTGATGTGCTGTGCTGCGCTAGGCTATGCGATGCTATGATATACTATGATGCGATATGCGATGCTACTCTATGTTATGATATGCTGTGCTCTGCTATGCTAAAGCTCAGCGAAGCTAAGATGAAGGTAAGCTAAGCTAAGATGAACCTGAGCTAGGATGAAGCTATGCTAAGCTAGGATGAGATAAGCTGAGTTAAGATGAGATAAGCAACGCTAAGCTAAGGGGAAGTAACTGGGGGGAACCGCGGGGCGGACACTGGGGGAACCCCCCGGGGCGGGGCGCTTTCCACCGCCCGGCCCCTTTGAGCCCAGAGAGCAAGAACCCTTCTAGGCAGAGCCTAGGTATGGAACAAAAACATTATAATTCGCCAAGGCGCTCGCTAAGATAGGCAACCGACCACTCACGCTCCCGAGCCACGAGCACAAGGTGACGCAGTTTGTCTCGGTGGGCCACCAACCTCCAATTAAGCCCCCGGACATTCTGACATGCAAAAACAAGCTTGGGCTCAAAAAGCGGCTTTTCGCTGCCTCGCCAGAGATGCCTTCTACGGTTCGCCTTCCTGCCGGTGCCCCAAAAGCACCGCGCGCTCTGATCGGCCACAATCGCGCGCTTGAATCCCGAAGCCCGCTGCCGAGGCACTAGAGGGAGACCTATATGACCCGATGATGTGGATTCGGCATCGCCCCTCTGAAACAAATGCCGAACCCAGAATGCAGCCTCCGGGGCCGCCATCGCCGCGATTGGGCCGGAAACAACGAGCACGTCGACGGGAAGCGCGCTCCGCCAGCCCCCCTGGATGAGGACGCGGCGATTCGAGCATGGGAAAAACATCCCGATGAGCGCCACCGTGGCGGCGGTGGCGGCGGAAGGGAACGTTGGCTGGGGGGCCCCCCTTCGCCCCCCCATGCCCCCCGCCGCCAGGAGAGGAGGCCCACTCCCTGAGAGATGGTGCCAGACCATCTCCCAGCGCAAGGGGAGTGGGCCCCACGTCGTCAGGGTGCAAGACCCCCACTCCCTGGGGGGCGGCGCAAGACCACCTCCCGGCGCAGTGGAGCGACCAGAAGGCGACGACGCCCCAGCGGACAGACCGCCCGAGCACATTCCCCACTGGGGCTGTTTTCCTTTCAGTCACCTGCGTTTAGACTGGGCCAGAGTAGCCCTCTGCGCGCGCATTGGCGGCGCCTCCCCGCCCGCCCCCCCCCGCCCTTGCCGCCCGCCTGTCGGTCGGCGCTCTACTCCGCGGAGGTCGGGGGACCACGCCTGCGCGGCGCCCCGGAGAGGCACCTCAGGATCAAGAGGTCCAGACCGAGGCGCCTCACTTCGCCTGCCGGAACCCCGGCGACCAGGCGGGATCCAGCCTCACGCCGCCCGCTGCGCGGGGGGAGATTCTAAGAATCCAACCGCCCCCGCACATACATGGGCAGCAAGCCGTGCCCGCCCGCCCCACTCATAGTAGTCCGGGCCAACGCATAGCGGTGAGGAGCACATGAAGGGGCGCACCTGGGACGCGTTCCACAAAGCGCACCCCCGCCGCACCAAGCTCAGGTCAGCGCGAG